CCTGGACTCTGGTCAGTTTATCTAGTTGAGGGTCCTCTAATTGCTCTCCTGTGGGGCAATGGGGTCACAGGGATTGCATGTACTTATCCATTAATGTTATTGAAGCCAAGCAGCACAGGATTACTGACTATTAAGGTTGAGTATGTGAACTTCCTCTCTACATTGTAGACTCTGCTGCTTCCCACAGTATCTGTGAACCCAGATCTGAAGGTTTCTCATGTAATTTCTTCACATGTAGCAATTTCCGGGGTCTTGTTCAGGCAGAAGCAGGATAGATGTTAAATGGATTAGAGAGAAGTGAAGATTTATCTATTCTTTATATAGATATCAACCCCTTTCTGAGTTTTCAGCCCATATTCTTTTCTCTATTTCTCAGATACCTGCTAATTGTTTCTGGTGTCCTAGGCTTGGCTGGACTTCTTTCTCACTAGCACTTAGTTATTCAGTTATCTCTATTATATTATCACCTCCATCTACTTTACATTATCCAAAATATTGTTGACATTACCCATCATCAGTATGTACAAATTTACACCATTTTAACTTCTATACTTATATTTTAATTGTGTTTGAGAGAAAATAAGTTGTAAATGTGAATTCAGCTTAATTTCCCTGTTAAAATTTTGAGGAATCATTTTTATAATTTGAAACCAGTTTTTTTTAATAATCTGTCCACTAATTGCCTATTATAACATCATTATATTCGATCTGTGTTAATAACAGGTGCCTCATACTGAGATATATATATCTACTTAGGGATATTATTGTTTTAATTTAACTTTTATTATAAAATTAAATCATGGAATGCCCTCAGATATTCTGTATTTTAATGTCAAATTTAAATCCTCAAGAAATTATTTAATTAAATCGACCTCTTGAATTTTAAGGTTAAAAAAATTCTCTGTTTTACTGTATGCTTTAGTATTTTCAGAAATCTATTCTAATGTTTAAAAGACTATATTAACTTTTTAAAACTGTGATGCTTTAGAACTATAATGTTTTGTTTATAAATGGTTTCTTAACGTGCTTTTTTTTAATTCACAGGGTAATGTTTACTCACAAGTTATACACGGAAAAGGTGAGTGAATCTTCTCACGACTTTGCCTCTTGACAGCTTTGAGCTCTCCTCCTGACTCTCAGAGGCCTCTCTCCAGGGTCTCTTCTTATGTAATGAGGTTAATCTGCTCTGGGCTAGAAAAATCAGATAATCTCACTTGTTTAATTCAAGCTTAAAGTCAAAATAAAAGACAATCTGATTAGTCCCATAAGTAAAGATCATGTGTTTTAATGCACACATGTTATGATCAAAGCACTAAAATATATTAGTTCTTGAACAAAGAAGACTTGGCCAAAACCCAAATCCCCAAAAGTGTTAGGTAGCAAATTTAGGTTCAAGAAGTCTATAGGAATTTTGTGGATTTACCAAATGAGCATGAAATAAGATCATGGAATCACCAACTGTAGGAGCAATTAAGTCACTTACTGAAATACATTGATTCTAATAAATCTTTCAAGTTTTCATTTCTCCTTCTGTTATCCAAGCTATCCCCTATATGAATATGTAAGTACATAAGCTAGCTAATTTCTGTTATAACTTTATAATCTCTAAAGAATGTGTGTACAAATTTACAAAGTGAATTAGAAATTTCTAAAGACTCTACTATGCATGTGTTATTAATAAATTATGTTGAGTTATGAAAATATGTATCGGTGTAGACCTCCACAAATCTGAGGCCTGCATGTAAATGATTATCTCAGTAAATGTTTTCTCAAAAGTAGACTTTGAACTGCCCTCTATAATTCTCCATGTCTTGATAACTTAATACTTAACAACATAGGTAGGTTTGACCTGTGGTTGTCTTCTGCCTTGCACAGATGAACTGATAGACCTTGCATTGAATGACTCATCCCATCCAGTTGACGGATTGAGTTTGGAAAGAGATCTTGTCAGCCTGATAGTAACACTGGATAAATCACAGGAGGAAATTACAGATATGAATACTAGTGTTACTAAAGAAATATGGTTAGATTTTGAAGACTTCTATGCATGCTTTCAGTAAGTATATTTTTCATGTGCATTTAACATAGTGGATATGTAAGGTATTAATTTTTAGCTATTGTTTAAAAGAGTTAAGTCAATATTATTCTGTTGTTGGTATAATATTAAAAAACAAAACAAAAAACTGTTAGGAGGATAAATGGCTGAGCTGATTGTCCACATAGGACAGTAAGAGGCAAGCCGATTTTTAGGCCAGTTTTAGTTTATCCTCAAAGACTTATTTAAATAAAATAAAAGCAGTTTATTCACTGAAGTCATTTTTGTCTCTTTCAGGCAATTTAATACAGTTGTTATTTTTTCCTAGATTTATTAAGGTATAATTGACAAATAAAGTTTTAAGGTATTTAAAGTGTACATGGTTTTGAATTGATATACAAATACATCATGAAAAATCCGCCCCCCATCGAGTTAATTAATATATTCATCACCTCACATATTTACCTTTTAAAAATGAGAACACTTAAATTCTACTCTCTTAGTAAATTTCAGTTATACAAGCCAGTGTTATCCACTATAGTCACCCTATTATATATGAGATCTTCAAACCTTTTTATCTTAGAACTGAAAGTTTGTATCATTTTCTCAACCTCTCCCTATTTTCCTCACCTCTCTATTCCTGACAACCACTTTTCTTATCTCTGTGTCATTATTTTTTAACTTTCATCTGTCTTTACTTTGTTCTGCCTATAATTAAATCTAAGAAATTTAACTTGTAATAGTAATTCGTTGAATATAATGACAATAACCTGTTATAAATAATGTTTTTCAGAAACCTATATATTTTCCACAAACCAAGTTCATATTGCTTTAACTTTCAAAAGTCAGAATTCAAGGTAAATAGTTCACTCTGCTGGTTTTGCATCCTAACAGCCTGGTTCCTTCCAGAGCAGCATAAAACTGAGGCAGCTACAAGACTACACGGTGGACCCCAGGTCCATTGCTAAAAAATACCTTCAAATTTAGCAAGCATTTCTAAATTTGTGACATAAGTATATTTTTAAATCAATTCTTAGGGTTTTCTGGTATTTCTTATCTAGATAACAAGCAAAATTCTGCTACCTTTTATCCCAGTGGTTCTCAACCTTCCTAATGCCGCGACCCTTTAATACAGTTCCTCATGTTGTGGTGACCCCCAATTTCATTGTTACAAATTGAACATAATTAAAGCATAGTGATTAATCACAAAACAATATGTAATTATATGTGTGTTTTCCGATGGTCTTAGGCGACCCCTGTGAAAGGGTCGTTCAACCACCAAAGGGGTCGCGACCCACAGGTTGAGAACCTCTGTCTTATCCCCAAGTGTAATCCATCTGATTATGTTGTAGTGGTTCATTATTATATCAATTCACATGAAGAAAATTTTGATCTGTGAGTATATGAAAGAGAAGCACAAATAAATTCACTATATTTGATTTCAATTGTTTATTGAAACACATGCAGTTCCTAAAACATAGCACACTTTTCACTAGCATTTATGTTATTTTTGCCCATGTTCTTCCCTCGACTGGGAGTTCATCCTCCTTTATTCATATTGCTTTCATCTAACTCATGCCTATAAATCCTCCATAATAGACAGCATGGATGTCCTTGACCCTATCTGACCTCCTTCCCTGGCTATAAAATCTGGATCAAGTTCCCTGACTCCACAGACACTGTAGAACCTATTCTCACCAAGACACAGACCTCTCTCCATTCTAACTGCCTGACTACTTCTCGGTGTCCCTTTACCTTCTCACCCAACTAATATCAGCATCTTTAGGAGAAGAGCGCCGCCCCTTTGTGTTCTATTGCAATACCCACCCTGGTATGGGGTTCACACTCCATAAAACATTGTTGAGTGAATGAATGAACGAATCTCACCTTGAGGGGAATTTTTTGGAAAACTCTGAAACACGTTCTGGGAAACCAAATTGTTCTGAAATTGGCATGTTGCTTGCCCCCCACCTCCGGGAGAAGTAGGCAGCATTGGGGGAAGTCAGGAGTCTTGGCAATGACTTTTCCTGTTGCACTTGGACTGGATGACAACACAGGCAGAGAAAAGCTATTGAGCATTGCTCAGGAGGGGCTCTATAGCCAGCTGCCCGATCTGAAAGTCAGACTCAAATCTGTAGTAATGACTGGGGATGGGGTAGGCAAAACATAATTGCAAATAACTGAACCCAGAGTGTGCTGTGAGAGTACTATACAGTTTACAGTTACCTTAGCAATATATCCATGTTCAAACTATTGGTAAAAATAAAATGATAGTCATTTATAGGTGCTCACTCTGTTGCCATCGCTGAACTGGGCTCTTCATTGCATTAGCTCCTATAGCAAAGCCTGTGAAAGGACTATTGTGATCGTTTTTCAGGTAGGGAAACTAAGGCAGATCAAGGTTGAGTTAATTGCCCAAGATCACCAAACTAGTAAGTGGCACGAGCATCCTGAGAACTGGGTTGACACCTGCGCAGTTCTCGCAGGTGGGCCTTGAGGAGGAGCAGATGAGTGGCTCTGGGGGATCACTGTCTGGTTTTGAATCTGCGTCCCACTTGGGGAGGGACTTTGAGCAAGTTGCTTAACTTCTCTTTGCCTTAGTTTTTTTCTCTGTAAAATGGCAGTAATAACAGACCTGCACCATAAAGTTGGAGGGTAAGCGATATGTATGTAAGATACTTAGAAGAATGCCTGCCAGTAAGAGAAAATAAATGTTGGCTGCCATTATTATTTACTAACGGCAGTTTGCATATGAGTGTTTATTATATACACTAGAGTCCTGGTGCACGACCTTCGTGTACTTGGGCGGAGGGCAGGCAGGGGGGGGGGGAGGTTGTTCCCTCAGCCCGGCCTGCACCCTTTAGGAGTCAGGAGCCCTCAGGGGATGTCCAACTAAAAGCTTAGGCAGCTTTCAGTTGGACATCCTCAGCACTGCTGGGAAGGTGGGAGAAGCTTCTGCCACCACCGCTGCACTTGCCAGCCATCAGCCCAGCTTCTGGCTGAGTGGCACTCCCCCTGTGGGAATGCACTGGCCACCCGGGGGTTAGCTCCTGTGTTGAGCATCTACCACTTGGTGGTCAGTGCACATCAGCACTGCTGAAGGTGGGAGAAGCTTCTGCCACCACCGCTGCACTTGCCAGCCATCAGCCCAGCTTCTGGCTGAGTGGCACTCCCCCTGTGGGAATGCACTGGCCACCCGGGGGTTAGCTCCTGTGTTGAGCATCTACCCCTTTTTGGTCAGTGCACATCATAGAGACCTGTCGTTCCGCTGTTTGGTCGATTTGCATATTACCCTTTTATTATATAGGATAACCATTCTAGTATATTTATAGTTATATGTGTTTGAAAAATGGCCAACTAG